AGTCGTCATCAGATAGTGCAAATACACTCCTGAGACCGTTACAGTTAGGCGGGCGAATACATATATTGTACGAGTAGGTATCCATCTCGTTGGGGAGTTGTCTGTTTTGAGATGATCTAGCTTGTAGCTTGTTCTTTGCTGTATAACATAGTTATTGATTTGCTCCTTTTATATTAGCTCTCGTTCTTATTGTAACCCCCCTTGGTAGAATTACCTAGAGTACCTACCTACTGATTATACCTTAACTTGCAATCCCTATCAAGTCCTAGCTCCTAATCCATTACAGGGCGAGAGGTAGATCTTAAAGAGGAATGTTAGGTTGGCTTCAATCTACGGCACAGCGTATTGATTTATTCTGAAAACCATCCACTTTTCTTTCTCTAACTATGAGGAGCACATTCATGATGCCTACCGTATAATCCAGATCCGCTCTAACTCTACGATTCCATAGAACCTACCTTAACGGTAAAGTCTTTTCCGGCCCAGCACCTTGCAGAACCGCAGTTCGCCCCAGCTCAAACATCTTCTCCGCTAGATTCAGCAACTGGTTAGAAAATCCACAACCATGGGTAGGTACGAACGCCGCGGACATTGGGGCAACCTACCGCTCGTGTTACGGAAGCTCAGAAACCGGAACCCGTCGGGGTAGTGGTACACCTTTCGTTTTCCGTTCCCCTCAAGCTGGACAAGCCAAGTGGGTGCGGTGAAACTCGGAGTGGAAGACAAGGAATCAAAAAAAGAATGGGGTACTTCAACAGAAGTTAGTATTGGCAGACATCAAGTGCTAGTGCCCAGTATTTTCCCTAGAATGGTGTAACTTACAAACTTGGCTCAGGACGGTGCAGCGATTGCGACTGGCTACGATGAGCCGGTGCTCGTCTCGAGAATTTCGGGTGATCAGCAGCTCGGCGTCGGGGATGATGGCGACTTCGCATTGGACCTCTGTTGCTTGGCTAAGGGCAAGTTAGCAGTTAATTCGAGCCCCTGACTGCTAAGAAGGAACTAACAGGTGCAGTGCGACAACATCGTCTGGCCGTGGGTACTGTAGGCTTGTAACCAGAAGCTCCACTCGCATATCCTCGAGCTTTTCGTGCAACTTCTTCGCCGCTATTATCGGGTCAGTATCATCTCCACGGCAACATTGCGGATGGAGACCCAACCTTCTAACGACAGCATGTGGAATAAGACGTCCGCTTCCTCGAGGCGACTGACTTGCTGGCCTTGGTTATATCCGAGGCACTCGACTCCCTGAATCACCACACATGTGTTGCCCTCTTCGACTTTGAATATTGTATTATGGGCCACTGCACAGTAAATAAGTATCTCGTCCAACTTCGTGCCAAAGGAGGATTGGAATAGCAACACGGCTTACAATGGACAACGCTCTTGGTGACGTCGGTTGATTCGCCCATCCCCTCGCTTCCGTAGTAGATGGATAACTCGGCGTGGTCCAAGGTATCGGCCAGTGAACGGCTAGTCTGCTGACCCAGCTCTCTATAATTCAGAAGACTGAGCCCGTCCACCCTCGGTTTTGACAAGTTGCGGTGGCCGACACGGAAAGTGACCGAGTCGATCAGCTTGTGGCAGTCCTTCAAATCACTAACAAGGAGATTGACGTCAGATTAATCGTCTCATGTTGACTGACAAATGGAACGGACGGACCTCTGAAGGTTTAGAGCCCGAATATGGCCCTCATCCGGCGACAAATGTGCAAGTTGATTACTGATCCCTTGTCGCAACATGGCGTTTGCTCTTGCTTCTGCGAGTGGCTGGATGAAGGTTTCTTCGAACTCGATGATACCTAGCAAATGGTTAACGACTGCTGAAACACACAAAGTGTTATCGTTGTACCCGAAGCGGCCACGTTCTTTACGGTTACGGACACCATCTGGCCGGTCGATTTGTCCAGGGCCTTGAAGAGCGTCCAGGATCGTGTATCCCCAGCTTGTCTAAACGGGAATGAGAGAGGTGACACTAATAAATAGGTAATAAGAATCAGCACGCTGATTCTACTCTGGCCATCCAAGTGAGTTCAAGCGCTTACATGCAATCTTCTCAACTCTCGGATGGCCAGAGGTAGGCTGGCTGCATCTGCACACAAACAGCTGCATTGACCCTGTTTCCTTCCAGTCATCATGTAGGCTGGCGTGGGAGCACAGGATCTGGGGAGTGCCGTTTGAGATGAGATGAACTTCGAACGACAATAGATTAGACGCGCCTTGTAGTCCGAGAGACAAGTCATCTTTCTGGGCCTGGGGGCCTGCGACATCCTTGAGGTTCTGGGACCACCAGGAATAGATTTCCTGGAGCATGGCAGAATTATTCTTCAGACCGTCCTCGATCCTCGTTGTCCGTGAGCTGGGTTTGTCAGCGGATATTCTTGCTACCAAGGGGGACCCCACCGATTTGGGGTCTTCACCTGACAATAATGCCCAACACCAGGTTCAAACTGTTAGTGTGGACCATCAGTTGACTACGGAGCGCGGCTAAGTCGCCAGCCTCAGTAGTCCAGGCAATCTTCTTGTAGTTCTTGGTCATCTCGATGCTCCAACGCCGAAAGCGAGACTTGGCTGGATCTTTGGGAGTGACAACGACGCCGTAGTTTTCAACAATCTTTTCGAGGTGCTTTAGGGTCTCGTAACAGCTGTCTAGTATCCCAGCCACGCTCTGCATCCCATCCTGCTCTTGTGTCTGGAATCTGGTGGGCAGTTTGGATGGATCGATAGCTACGGCGGCGAGATCAGTGCCACAGATATCTTTGAAAGCCGTCAAGGCCGCGCTGAGCGAGTACAGCTGGTTTTCGACTTCTCGAAATGCAGCTGGGGCAGACTTGTGCCCTTGTGTGAAGGCATGGGCGATGTGCCAGGCGATCTTGGCCATGGCGACAGCGTCGCCAAATGAGATTGGGGAGGCCATGACGATAGTATGGCAACTCGCGATGCTCTTGGATTGAGATTCAACCGGCAAGTAAATGGCAGCAATCAGAAAGTCGCAAGAGTGGTTCTTCGTAGGGGATGGATCGTCGGCTCCCCCATCTGCACAGCCCCCGCGGCTTCTGCAATCACAGCTGATGATTGGTTTCCTAGGCATGACATGCGTTTGCGGCAGTGCAGCTCCGCCGCTCCCTCTGGCCAAAAAAAGCCGAACTCGAAAGGGGCAAAAATCAAGAAAAAAGTAGAAGTAAAAGAACCTGAACTAGGAAAAGAAAAGGAAAAGTAGACTAGTTATAGGCTTCTGAATGGTGTTCTTTCCGTTCCGCTAGTCGAAGGTTCCGTTGACACCTCTACTTTGGAGTTCAGTTTTTTTGGCCAGAGAGTGGGAGGGTGGTATGCATTGGATAGGGCTGATCGGCAGCCGAGAGCCTCGCGCCGGGGTTACTATTGCCTAAGGTACATACTAAATAGTCAAAAGTCCGGCCCTTGCTTTTCCACGAGGCTCCCACAAGCCCAGCTCCCCCTTTCCTCTCCGCTTTCTTCTCATCCTCTGCCTATTACCAATCCCAAGAACCACATCAAACTGGATCACAAACGCCAATGGCGCGGTACCAGAACAGACTCAACCGGATCTTCTCAGCTGGGATTGTGTGGGATCCCGAGGAGCCTCTCCCGGAAGAGTTGCAAGATGACCTCTTTCGTTCCAACAGCGAGACACAGGATATTCTAGACGTATTGAATTTCCGCACAGGGTACTCGGCAGCGGCGCATGTCGATGGCCCATTTCGTGACCCAGCTCAAATTACGCAGCCCCTTATTCAATGGGGTCAACAGATCGCAGCGACATGGCCGGTAGAGGGCGCAAAGAAGAACCTTCCCCGTTTCACTGTGCAAGAACAGGGCCGCAACGTCCTTCCGCCACTATCGGTCACAGTTAATGCCTTCATCGTGCAAGACACGGCAAGAGTCACCGTCACGCAGCTCTTCTGGAATGACTCGGGCATCCCGATCAAAAAAGCCGCCTTCACATTCCCTCTCGCTACCGGTTGCACCGTCACCGACTTCAGCTGCAGAATCGGGGCCAACAAGATCATCAAGGGCACCGTCAAGCCAAAAGAAGAAGCCCGCGAGGCATTTCGGGATCACATCCGTCAACACGATACCGCTGCTGGTCTGTTGGAACAGGAGACGCCCGAAATCTTCACCACCACCCTGGGTAACGTGCCCGAGAAAACCAAGGTCAAGGTGGAGTTGACCTACATCAGTGTGCTCAAGCACCGCTTTGCTGATAACAACAATACCACCACCCTGACTATCCCAACGTCCATTGCTCCACGTTACGGGGACGCGCCGGAAGAATACAATGACGCTGCGACAACAAACGTACCCCAAGGGCTGTCTCTGGAGGTCGAAATTGTCGAGACAGAGAAGATCGCCTCCATCGTCAGTCCTTCCCACGCGATTGCTGTCACACGGCGGCGCGGAGCTCGCACGGCTCAGAGCTTTGCAGACCTTGCCGGAGAAGACGATCGGAGCAACGTCGAAACGGCCTCCGTTGCACTCGAGTCAGGGCGGGTATTCCTGGACAAGGATTTTGTGCTGGATATCGTAACGACGCCCGATGGCAACAACGAGAACCCACAGGCTTGGTTGGAGGAACATCCGAGCCTCCCAAACCACAAGACCCTGATGCTCACTCTCCCGTCCGGGTTCCTAGCCAGGAAAGCGCCTCCGGTGCAACAATCTGAGATTCTCTTCCTGGCGGATTGTTCCGGTTCCATGAAGGACAAAATCAGGCCCCTCAGGTCGGCTATGCAGTTCTTCTTGAAAGGAATCCCAGAGGGCCGCAAGTTCAACATTTGGTGCTTTGGCACCAAATATGCCTCCTGGCAGCCACAGTCGGTTGATTACACAGAAGAGTCGTTGAACTCGGCGCTGTCGTGGGTAGAGAGAGACATGAGGGCCAATATGGGCGGCACCGAGCTGCTACCCGCCGTGCAGGCTATAGTTGCGGCTCGTGAAAAGGCACTGATGACGGATGTTATTGTTCTGACGGATGGGCAGACCTGGCGCTTGGAACAAACTCTGGACCTCATACAAAAGACGCGAGGTCTTACCGAGGGTCGTGTACGCTTCTTTGCCCTCGGCATCGGCAGAGCAGTCTCGCACGCATTGGTTGACGGTATTGCCAAAGCCGGTGGCGGATACGCCGAAGTCGTCCAGGAAGCCAGTCAGGGAGGGTGGGAAGATCGTGTTGTGAGCATGGCAAAGGCTGCTTTGATGAGTGCCCACCTAGGCCCCCTACATCTGGAATTCAACATCCAGGACCAAACCGGAGACATGAGAAGTAATTGCCCCAGACAAACACATAAACCAAGCATATACTGATCCCGAGCAGGCTCGACTCTGGCGGATGCAAAGAGGTCCCCCGCAGACATCTCAGCGCTCAACCCATTCGACCGCAACCGCGTCTACTTCCACCTCGACTGTCTCAAGGATTCCGAGAGCATCAAAAGCATCAGAGTGGAGGTCCAGGCCAACTACGACACCCAGACACTCAACATCCCCGTCACCATTCTCGATAAACGAGACACAACGCTGCACAGGTTGGCTGCGCGGGCAATGCTGGAAGACCTGGAACAAGGCCGCAGCCATATTCACCTGGGCCCGAACCGGCCCATTCCAGGATCCTGGCAAGAGACCAACATAGTGCGCAAAGAAGCGGAAGCGATCGCCTGCAAGTGGTCTCTCGTCTCTAAATGGACAAGCTTCTTCCTCGCCGAGGAGCCCTACGCACCGACAGAAGACGATGCCTTTATGGGCGAGGTCGTGGAGATCCAGGTCTCGCCGGGCGATGATCTTCTACAGCCTCATGGTGCTGTAAAGCACATTGCCGCCATCGAGCCAGCGGACTCGCACATACAGATAGCTGTAGAAGGCCGCCCAGCCCAGTACACCAGCTACAGCTGCAGCCCGGGGGGTTCATCAGGGTCTTTTCCGGTACGGTCACTACTCGATTTTGAATTTCGGTATCCGGAAGGCACATTATCCCCGCCTTGCGAAGCGAGGCACATCGCACAGCCGGGGGCACCCGGCGGAGTCAACCCGCCTCGCCTCCCACTGGAATTCTCGGCCACAGTCAAGGATGAAAAAGTAAATATAGAAAGGTCGCACGCTAAGTATCAACTTGACCAAGGCCACAATTTCGAACGCCGGGGCCCTGATCACCATACAACCACGTCATGCCCACCAATGGCACCTGGAGCCCCTCCCGTGGTACACGAAAGGAGCTCTGATGTCCGGAGGAAGGAAGAACCACACGACTATTACCTAGTTGCTCGTTCAACGGAGAGGGCAAGCCGAACTCGGGCGAGAAACGATGAAAAGTACGATGCTTTACAGGAGCGGCTACGTTCCCGCTTCGATTCCTCTGAGCAGAGGAGCAGGGGCAAGGACAGTGATCCCGGGTCATCAAGCCGAAGCGATGGTGATACCAAGGCTGGCCCGCCGAAGGTCAATATCAGCGCTCCGCCGAAGGTCAATATCAGCACTCCACCCAAGGTCAATATCAGCACTCCTATGGGGAGTGCTGCGCCGGACTCAAACACATCCCCCACACTTGATGATTTCACCCTCTTCTTGCCCGGATCCGGGACCACACAGAACACTGCATCGCCATCATACGTCGGCCCCGGGGCAGGTGAGCACCTAAAGTTCGGTACCGTTGCACATCCTTATTCGACGACAGGGCCCTACGACTGGGACTCATCGTCGACTTCCGAATGGCAGTTCGATTCAATCATCTTCAGCCCCTTATCATCCCCCAGTAATTACGACCCACGCAAACCCCCAACTCCAGCGGAGGAGACCAGCCAAACTCCCAACCAGCCCCGATCTATCACTCGCCCGTTGCGCCGCCACGTGCCCCCCACCGACGGACAGCCCCGCTGAGTCTATCGGTCGAGCATCTCAACTAGAGGTGTCGCGCCCAAGCCACTCATCCAAAAAAAACAACAGCAACAACCAGCAACAGCAAGAGCAACAGCAAGGACAAGCCCTTCCCCATCACCTGCACCAACATAAGGGACATCCCCAACCACCCTCCCACCACCACACCACACACTTTCATCACCACCCTGCTCACCTTCCAACAATACAACGCCAGCATCGACTTCGGCAGCTGGACCACCGCCACGCAAATCCTCGGCACCGCCATCACCTCCGCCCTGCAGACACTCCAACAGACCTGGCCGTCGGGGGGCGTCAACGCCCGGGCGGTGTGGACGGCGGGGGTGTTGGTTCTGCTGGGGCGGGATCTCAAGGGGTGGAGGGCGCTGTGGGAGCTGATGGGGGTGAAGATGGGGCGGTTTTGTGAGGGGGTCGGGGTGGGCGAGGGTGGGCCCGGGTTGCTGGAGGTGGTGGGGAGGGGGTTGGAGGGGGTGAGGTTGGGGTTGGAGGGTTGGGGAAGGGGAGGGGCAAAGGGAGGAGGAGGGGGAGAAGGGAGGGTTGGT